CTGTTATGCTGCTGTTATGCTGCCATTATTTGGCAAATATAGGGTAGAATAATGGCAGTTTTTTTTTCTGTTATTTATCTATTATTTACCCTTTATTTATTCGTTCAACCTGTGATATTCTTTATCATTGAACTCAACATAACTACCTTTTAAATTTAATTGGCAATATAGATGAAACTCCAATGTCATTTAGTCTACCAAGTCAAACAACTATTGAAGAATATGAAAAATGAACTATCTCAGTTCTTACCATGGGTCATGAACATACTAGTTTTACTGTAACTCTTGCCTGCCTTGCAGATGGTACCAAACTTCCCTTACTTATTATTTTTAAATTAGTTAATGTACCATGAGAGCAGTTTTCTGATGGTATATATGTTCATTCAAATCCAAGTGGCTGGATGAATGAAAAAGAAATAATTTGGTAGATGGTAATGTGTGGTGTCAATGAGCTAATTTAGAGTCAAATCCATGTTCACTTCTTGTTCTTAATGCATTTACTGCTTATAGAACAGATCTTGTAAAACATCACTTTTGTGAGAGGAATACAGATATGGCTATGATTCTAGATGGGTTAACCTCATGCTTGCAACCATTAGATGTATCTTTGAACAAAGTATTTAAAGCAAAGATTAGTTTAGTGTTCTCTATAAAAAAAATTTAAAAACATACTTAGACTTTTTCAAATTAGTTTTTTAAGAGATGAGCATTTTTTGTAACAAACATCTATACAGAACCTTTGGAATTTTTTCAAATTTTCTGAATATTTCTGAAACCTTGTTAATTTTTTTTTTATAATTTTTTTCTAGCAAAAAGTTATAAACAGAAAATTAACAAGTTTCAGAAATATTCAGAAAATTTGAAAAAATTCTAAAGGTTCTGTATAGATGTTTGTTACGAAAAATGCTTATTTTTCAAAAAAATAATCTAAGCAAAGTTCGAGTATGATTTTAAATTTTTTTTATAGGGGTTACATATTAATTGAAACATAGTGTAGAAAAAGTTTTTAACTTTATTGTTTTAATATAAGTCCACTATGCATATAATCAATAGATAAATAAAGCAGTTAAGGAATATACACCAGTTGAAAAAATTAAATGACCATCATACTCAACAGTAGCAATCTAGATCAAAGAAGCATGAGATGATATTAATGCTGCAATGATACAATAGTCTTTCAAGTATTGTAGTGCTTCTACTATAATTGATGGCTTTGAAAATAATTTGATTTTTGATTTTAAGAAAGTTTCAGATATAAAAGGCATACAAATTGGTATTGAAGAGAAAAAAAAAAATAGTAAATCATTTTCAGGAGATATTGAAAGTGATCCAAAGAATGAATATTATGAAAATGAAGAGAGAAATTATATTAATATTTGGGAATAATGTGAGTAAATATTGTAATTTAGTTATTATTGATAAGAAATGAAATAAATTAAAATATTTTATTATTCTATCAGGCTTTTTTATAAGATTATTTTGTCTATTTACTTGAACCTTAGACATATATATTAATATCAATATTCTCCTATCATTATGTTTAAAAAATTTGAATAATAAATAAATAAATATTGGAATTGTTAGAGCTTAAAAAAAAAAAGGTGTTTGAAATTAATTGCACTTATAATAATCATAACACTATTATTATTTTAGTGAACTACAAGTAATTTATAAGCATTCAAAAAGTATCTATTATGCAATTCTCTTCACTAATCATAGATATAAAAAATTCGTGTTATGCTTTTAATTTGCAATGTACTATATTATAAATAAACTCTAACTTAAAGTAACTTAAATTCTAAAAAAATGTACTCGATAAAATAATTTGGAATATATATAATTTTGTTTTAAGTTGAATTAGAATTCTTTAATAACTCAGGCATATTTTAGAATTCTATTAAAATCTATATTTATTCAGAATCAATCTAGATTAATTCTAAATATACAATAATTACATTCTAATGTATAACATAAATACAATAAGTAAATTATTAAAATAACAATAATATTAAAAATTTAGTGAATGCATAACTTATTGAAATTATAAAGATTAACTCTTTTATAGCTAAATGAACTGTATTTATTATCTGAAACTACAAGCATTCTTTTATCATCTTTAGCAATATACATTACTTTATTTCTACCTATATGTATACTTAAAATTATGTATAAACCTTATAGGCAGAAGTTCATCTGATTGACTAATAAATTCAATTTTAATTTTACATTATTTATACAGTTTAGAGTACTTTTTAAAAAAACAAAAATCAACTATAATAAAGTAAAAAAAAAAACATATAGAAGGTTTCATTAGAGTTGTAGAACTTTATAGTCAAAAATAAGATTTAATTCTTGTCTGTTTAAAAAAGTTAGCTTAGTAATAAGTTGATTTTATTGGGTTTTGAGAAGTTATTACTATACTAACTTTTTTAAACAGACAAGAATTAGATCTTATTTTTGGCTATGATGTTCTATAGCTCTAATAAAACCTTCTATATGTTTTTTTTACTTTATTATAATTGGTTTTTGTTTTTTTAAAAAGTACTCTAAACTGTATAAATAATGTAAAATTAAATTGAAATTTATTAGCCAATCAGACAAACTTCTGCCTATAAGTGTAAACCAAACAAAAAGACAGAATAGTATATAGATATAGATTATATAATAATTATATAAACAATTAAAATATTTAAATATTCTTTAGAATACTAATATTTTTTATAGTTGAATTACTTTATTTTATTTTTATAGTACCTGAGTACTAATCAATATCCATAAGTCCTAACTTTGAAAAATATCCAGATACTAATCAAGTTTCATTAGTTACAATTTTAAAAAGTACCTGGGTACTAACCATAGTCAAGTCTTTATGTATAGTGTATAATATCTGGGTCTTAATCAAGAGGAGTACTATTTCTTAGAGGTACTTTATGCAGTGCTTTACAGTACATAATGTGATAATACAAGCAGATGTTGGGTTGATTTTTTCATAATTTATTTTAGTTTTTTATTTATTAAATAAAAGAAAAGAACAAGTATTTATATATTTGGAAAAACAATTTAATAATATTTATTTATTAATAATATTTTAAATTAATTTAATATAAATAAAAAAATAAAATCTAGTCTTCTTCTTTATTACAACAATCTTTTACTATTGATAACATTGAGTTTAGATTTTTTTTAGTTATATGAGGACTCCATGCTGATTCAATATAACTATTTTTTATATATGAAGAAATTTCTAAATTACCAGCATTAAAATCATATCCTTCTTCTAAAGTATATGTTATAAATTCATTATTAATAGTCTTTTTTTTGAAATAAAACATGAAGTTGACATAATCTAAAAACATCATGAATAAATAATTTTCTTTATCAAAATAAGATGATTTATTATCTTTAAGTTTGTTTTTCAAACAAACATTCATTTTACTAAGATCTAAACACATTACTATTTTATCTCTTATAAAGATACATAAATCACAATCAATTTCTAGTATATGTTCAAGTAATGGTTTAACTTTTTTGTTAAATGTTATTTCTTAAAAATCATTTTTCACTAATATGTTACTTGCTAAGATATTTGTTTCTTTTTTTTTTGATAAATCCATATTATAGATTTCTAGTATATAACTTCTGATAGTCATTTGAGAAATTAGAAGTGTGATTGTTGAATTTTCATCTCTAACAGGTATTTGAAAAGTTTATATAATATCTTTATGATAATAAGTTTCAATTTCTAAGTATACTGAAATATCATGTAAATAAAAATTTGTAAAAGGTTCGAAGTTGGTTTGAAAAAGCTTTATTGCAAAGAATCTTTTATACAATAGACCAAGGTAAAAGATACAATTTCCTTGATTAATTGGCCTATATTCTAGTTTAACAACTTGTGATAAAGGAGGTCTTTTTGCTTCACATATATTCAATTTCTTTTTATCTTCATACTATCCAATTCTACAAGTATTGGTTATCTTTTTTTTTAGTGAAGGTGCTTTTTTTTTTGATACTTTTACTTTTGGTGCTTTTGGCATATTTTATTTTACATCCATATAAATTACACTTTTTAACTCTTTTAACTGATTTTGAAATTAGTAATGATGTTCTTTTTTTAATAACAGTAGTTGATTTTTTTTTCATAATTATTTTTTTTGGAGTTGTATTTTTTTGAGTAGCTTTCTGTTTTACAATCTGTTGTTTCTTACTGAATGCCACTTTGTCTAAATAAATTAATAAAAAGAACTATGTTGTAAAATATTTCTTGTACTAGAATGTTAAAATGTAATAAAACATATAATATGAGCTTAAAATTAATTTCAACAAATTTAAGATGAAATACAAATATTGTATAGATAATTGCAATTAAAAGAAAAATATATAAATAAAAAATTATAATATCTATTTTTAGTTTGGATTTACTATATTGTTCACACAAATCAGAATAATCTGCTATTTAAATTTTTGTAAAAATTGAGAAGACTCAGATATTTATATAGTTTCTGAAAAATCTGATTCATTCTTAGAATTTTCAGGACTTGCTTTCTATATTTTTGCAATTGCTTTTATTGTTTCTATACTATTTTTATGTTGCAATGCTATTTTTCATAATTATCTCTTATAAATTGTTGATATTTTGGTAGTTTTTTTTCTTTAACCTCTTCTTCTTCTTTGTTTTTTCCTTTTCTACATTTTTTTACTTTTGACTCATCAACATTGTATACAATATCAGCAAGTCTTTCTATATTACTAAGATTTATTATTGCATAATCAGAGTCATGTTTTAATATTTTTTCAATTAATTCTTGTTTAGTTTTTAATTTTTTTACAAACTGTTTAAGTTTATTATTAAGAACTTTACCTATTTTATTTTACTAGAAAAAATATAAAAAGAGTTGCATATTTATATGATTTCACATTATAGATAAAATAAAAGAGTTATTTGATAAAGTTGATGATATTATCAAACTCATGAAAGATGATAAAACAGATTACTTAAAATTTTTAAATCAATTAAAAGAAACATAAATTCAAATCTTTTAAGATGTTGAAAAAATACTTTAAGAAAAACAAAAAGATATTGATGCATTAATTCTAGTAAACAATGTTTTATTAACTAAATCTAATTATTACAAAACACATTGGTTTTTAAAATTATCTGATGAAACCTCTGACTAGTTAAAAGATCTTATTATTGAAGTTGTTGAGAAACATACATCTAAACCATTAAAACAATTTATAAAAATTTTAGCAATTAGAGATCATATGTTTAATTTAGTTTTTAAAATTGTTTTATTAAGAGTAACTTCAATAATAATAATTTTTTTTCAATTTTTATTAACATATCATTCAATTATGATTATAGAATTATTTATTTATAATATTTGTTTTTTTATATTTGGAGTTTATTACTTAAATTATATATTTAAAATAGATATGATTTGTTATATAATATAATTTATTTATAATCCATATAAGCAAGACTAAAAAAATTTATAAAAATACTTCTAAAATATATTAATATAAGCCAGAGACCAACATTATAATAAACTATAAAAATCATTATCCAAAGAATTGTTTTATTTTTATTTTTTTTTTTTTTTTTGGAGTTAAGGTGAGGTCATGCCTCAAGTCTGTTTATTCGAACATATTGTTACAGTTTGT